ATGGACTGTACCAACGCCTCTGGAGCCTCTGGACTGTACCAACGCCTCTGGACCGCACCAACGCCTCTGGACCGTACCAACGCCTCTGGACCCTCTGGACCGTACCAACGCCTCTGGACCGTACCAGCGCCTCTGGACCGTACCAACGCCTCTGGAGCCTATGGACTGTACCAACGCCTCTGGATCGTACCAACACCTCTGGAGCCTCTGGACTGTACCAACGCCTCTGGACCGTACCAACGCCTCTGGATCGTACCAACGCCTCTAGATCGTACCAACGCCTCTGGACTGTACCAACGCCTCTGGACCGTACCAACGCCTCTGGATCGTACCAACGCCTCTGGACCGTACCAACGCCTCTGGACCGTACCAACTCCTCTGGACCGTACCAACGCCTCTGGACCGTACCAACGCCTCTGGAGCATGTGGACTGTACCAACGCCTCTGGACTGTACCAACACCTCTGGATCGTACCAACTCCTCTGGATCGTACCAACGCCTCTGGACCGTACCAACTCTCTGGAGCCTCTGGACTGTACCAACGCCTCTGGACTGTACCAACGCCTCTGGATCGTACCAACTCCTCTGGATCGTACCAACGCCTCTGGAGCATGTGGACCGTACCAACGCCTCTGGACTGTACCAACGCCTCTGGATCGTACCAACGCCTCTGGACTGTACCAACGCCTCTGGACTGTACCAACGCCTCTGGATCGTAGCAACACCTCTGGAGCATGTGGACCGTACCAACGCCTCTGGACTGTACCAACGCCTCTGGATTGTACTAACGCCTCTGGACTGTACCAACGCCTCTGGACTGTACCAACGCCTCTGGAGCCTCTGGACCGTACCAACGCCTCTGGATTGTACCAACGCCTCTAGATCGTATCAACGCCTCTGGACTGTACCAACGCCTCTGGACTGTACCAACGCCTCTGGACTGTACCAACGCCTCTGGACTGTACCAACGCCTCTGGATCGTACCAACGCCTCTGGACTGTACCAACGCCTCTGGACTGTACCAACGCCTCTGGATCGTAGCAACACCTCTGGAGCATGTGGACCGTACCAACGCCTCTGGACTGTACCAACGCCTCTGGATTGTACTAACGCCTCTCTGGACTGTACCAACGCCTCTGGACTGTACCAACGCCTCTGGAGCCTCTGGACCGTACCAACGCCTCTGGATTGTACCAACGCCTCTAGATCGTATCAACGCCTCTGGACTGTACCAACACCTCTGGACCGTACCAACGCCTCTGGATCGTACCAACGCCTTTGGACCGTACCAACTCCTCTGGACCGTACCAACGCCTCTGGACCGTACCAACGCCTCTGGAGCATGTGGACTGTACCAACGCCTCTGGACTGTACCAACGCCTCTGGACTGTACCAACGCCTCTGGATCGTAGCAACGCCTCTGGACTGTACCAACGCCTCTGGATCGTAGCAACGCCTCTGGAGCATGTGGACCGTACCAACGCCTCTGGACTGTACCAACGCCTCTGGATCGTACCAACGCCTCTGGACTGTACCAACGCCTCTGGACTGTACCAACGCCTCTGGAGCCTCTGGACCGTACCAACGCCTCTGGACCGTACGAACACCTCTGGATTGTACCAACGCCTCTAGATCGTACCAACGCCTCTGGACTGTACCAACGCCTCTGGACCGTACCAACGCCTCTGGATCGTACCAACGTCTTTGGACCGTACCAACTCCTCTGGACCGTACCAACGCCTCTGGACCGTACCAACGCCTCTGGAGCATGTGGACTGTACCAACGCCTCTGGACTGTACCAACGCCTCTGGATCGTACCAACTCCTCTGGATCGTACCAACGCCTCTGGATCGTACCAACGCCTCTGGATCGTACCAACGCCTCTGGACTGTACCAACGCCTCTGGACTGCACCAACGCCTCTGGAGCCTCTGGACCGTACCAACGCCTCTGGACCGTACCAACGCTTCTGGACCGTACCAACGCCTCTGGACCGTACCAACACCTCTGGACCGTACCAACACCTCTGGACCGCACCAACGCCTCTGGACCGTACCAACGCCTCTGGAGCCTCTGGACTGTACCAACGCCTCTGGACCGTACCAACGCCTCTGGAGCCTCTGGACTGTACCAACGCCTCTGGATCGTACCAAAGCCTCTGGATCGTCCCAACGCCTCTGGACCGTACCAACGCTTCTAGACTGTACCAACGCCTCTGGATCGTACCAACGCCTCTGGACCAACGCTGGGATCATGGCACAAATGGACGTTTAGTTAAAATCACGAAGCTCAATATATTTATTACAATCAGCCAACTCCAGCTTGGTCAGCTGTCAATCACTGTGGACTCTAGAGAGTTAGAGAGAGTTGTTTCTTTATTTTTGTCAACGATCTTTTCCCCCATTTAAATGAATCGTCAGTCGTCCACAGCTGCAGCTGCAAGAACTCACACAACAACATGTGACCAGCGCCCCCCAGAGGCCTGGAGCAGGTGTGACAGCACGTCCCAGAGGAGAGCCGGTGTGTGTGTGTGTGTGGTGTGTGTGTGTGTGTGTGTGTGTGTGTGTGTGTGTGTGTGTGTGTGTGTGTGTGTGTGGTGTGTGTGTGTGGTGGAATCAAACTCAGGACCTTTTTACTGGGACGTGAGGCACAAGCGCTAACCACTGTGCCACTGTGCACACCTGCTTTGTGTGTGTGTGTGTGTGTGTGTCTCTGTGTGTTTGTTGTGTGTGTGTGTCTGTGTGTGTGTGTGTGTGTTGTGCGTGTGTGTGTGTGTGTTATGCACCTGGGACAGAGTCTTGGAGCTGATGTCGTACAAGCAACGCATCGTCAGCAGCAAAACAGCCACTCATGCACTCACTTACACACAATTAACTCATCACACACACACACACACAGACACACACACACACCACACAGACACACACACACACAAACATCTATTTTCCTTGAGTGTTCTGTGTTTGTCATGTTGGAGTTTTAAATTAACAGTGAAGAATGAACTTATTTCGGCACGGTGGCTGAGTGGATAGCACTCTCGCCTCTCAGCAAGAAGGTCCTTGGTTCGAATCCCGGCCGGACAAGGGTCTGCGTAGGTTTCCTCCGGGTGCTCCGGTTTCCCCTTCCACTAAAAATATGTACAATAGATCTGGCATGCGCCTCCTGTACTGGCCCCGCTCCCATCTCTGTGTGGAGTGAGAGACTAATGCCCAAAAATAACCATTGTAAACCGCTTTGTGACTCTGGTCTGTGAAAGGCGGTATATAAATAGAGATTACTTACTTACTTATTTCAGTAAATGATTTTAAATGCAGACTGAGACGTCCCCACATTGTAATAATCTGAGAGTGTGTGTAACTGTAGCTGCCTCTGGTCCATGTTCCCTGAAGCTTCAGTGAGCGACAGAATCCTTCATCTCATCGGATGAAAATATTCGACCAATAAACAGAACTTTTATTTGACCCAGCGTCGAGGATAAAAATTCTCAGGGTTTTAAAATGAACTAATGTCATGAAAACAGGACTTTTGGGCTAAATCTGTTTAGTGTAATTACATCTTTTTAATTGTGATTTATCCATTAGAAAAAACATTGACAAGAGAAATCAATAAAAAAAAGTGGGAATAGGCCAAGATTAATAATTTAGGCCTCAACCTATCAGGCCTTCCCCTGCCACCGCTGGTGCTCTCTGGTCTCTCTCTGTCCTGTATCGACAAGGAACAACTCTTAAAAAAACTACTCTGGGAAAAAGTGAGACACCTTGGGGAGACCTAGGGAAACCCACAGGGTCTATCTGGTCTCCCTGACCCAAGATGTAGAACCACAGCACATACATCTTGGAGAGACCAGACAGAGGCAGACATTTTGGAGAGACCAGGGGCAGACTTTGGAGAGACCAGAGGCAGACATCTTGGAGAGACCAGGGGCAGACTTTGGAGAGACCAGGGGCAGACTTTGGAGAGACCAGAGGCAGACATCTTGGAGAGACCAGGGGCAGACTTTGGGGAGACCAGGGGCAGACATCTTGGAGAGACCAGGGGCAGACTTTGGGGAGACCAGGGGCAGACTTTGGAGAGACCAGAGGCAGACATCTTGGAGAGACCAGGGGCAGACTTTGGGGAGACCAGGGGCAGACATCTTGGAGAGACCAGGGGCAGACTTTGGGGAGACCAGGGGCAGACTTTGGAGAGACCAGTGGCAGACTTTAGAGAGACCAGGGGCAGACTTTGGGGAGACCAGGGGCAGACTTTGGGGAGACCAGGGGCAGACATCTTGGAGAGACCAGTGGCAGACTTTGGAGAGACCAGTGGCAGACTTTAGAGAGACCAGGGGCAGACTTTAGAGAGACCAGGGGCAGACTTTGGGGAGACCAGGGGCAGACATCTCTCCTTGGAGGACTCTGGGTAAAAAGGTCGGTAACCACAGATCTTAACAACTCTAACTTTATCTTTTGCTTCCTCAAAGAGTTTGTGAAATGCTTTGTCAGTAAAGACTTCCTCATTAAACATGTTATCTGTCTTCACACATCAGCATCTCATCCATATGACTGTTTCCTTCCTCCGTCAGCGCCTGCAGGCCCATGTGTCAGGCTGAGGGGTGGGGGGCGAGGAGGGGGGGCGGACTGGTGTTTACTGTTTGCTATTATTGTTGTCATTACGCCGCTCGCTCCGCCATGCTCCACGTCTGCTCTTATCATTACCGCGAGCCGCTTGTCATTCTCCAGCGGCGGCGGCGGCGGCGGACTCCTCGCTGTCATGCATCTCCTCTCCTCACTCTCCACATCTATCTTTCTCTTTGTTCTCCCACTCTGCTGTTTAGACGCTGCGGAGGTGAGAGGTGGTGAGGGAGGGGGTGAGGGAGGGAGGGGGGGAGGCAGAGGGGGGGGGTCAGCTCGATGGCAGCTCCGTCCGGCTGCGCTCGCCGCCTCCAGCCCTTAATTGAGACGTACTGTCAGAGTGACAAACAATTTGCATGAAGAGAGTGGGATCCTCTGCCTTTGCTTCCAGCTTCTGTTAATCAGCTCGTGTTCTGCTCCTGTCTGAAGTCCAGCCTCAGCCCAGAGCTCTCACTTAGCGCCAGAAGCTCTCTCTCAAATATGCAAACACACATATGCCATATTTCAGCAGCTTTTACTCCTGTGTCTTTGTCAAAGCTGAGCAGAACTGGTTTCTCTTGTTCGGCCAAAACCACAGACGATCAGGGCCTGACTCCGACAGTTTCACCTCCAGCTGAAGTTTGCATCTTTAATTCAGTTTCATTCACAGATAAAGTGTATTTGTGTTTAGTCCTAGATCACAACAGCACTTTACAAAGTCGTGCATTTACTGACAACAGATCAACTGAACAGGAGGCTGTAGACCCAGGACTGAGGCTGTAGACCCAGGACTGAGGCTGTAGACCCAGGACTGAGGCTGTAGACCCAGGACTGAGGCTGTAGACCCAGGACTGAGGCTGTAGACCCAGGACTGAGGCTGTAGACCCAGGACTGAGACTGCAGACCCAGGACTGAGGCTGTAGACCCAGGACTGAGGCTGTAGACCCAGGACTGAGGCTGTAGACCCAGGACTGAGGCTGTAGACCCAGGACTGAGGCTGTAGACCTGCAACAACATCAAACCTATTGGAGTCGTTGATCCATAAATATGTCCCAGAGTCACATGACCTCTTTTTTCCCGTACAATCAGTCACATGCAAATCCATTTCTATGAATGCCGCTGCACTGAGAGCGGATTAGTTCTGTAGATGTGGATTATGAAGTCTATTCATTCAGGTAGGGGGGGCACAGCAGGTGAGGTGGGGGGGGGGGGGGTTAGAGCAGGTGGGAGCTTTTTCTACCGAGAAAAGACCAGGACTGTAGAGTCAGGTCCCGCTGAGAGGTATCGGGACTTTCTGACCGTTTCTAGAGCAGTATTGTTTATAACAGACTAATGAAGGTAAATGTACTGAGGGAGGCTTTGGATGAATGATGAAGGAGCGGGTTTATGTGAGGGTTCAACGACAGATCACTCACACTGATTAAAGGTAAAGGTGCACTTTATTTATCCCCGTAGGGCAATTCCTCCTCTGCATTTGACCCTGATGCCCTAAGGCTCACGTCAGGAGCAGTGGTCGCCGTAGTAACAGCGCCGGGGAACCCATCTCCAGATGTTGATGCTTGGTCAGGACCTGAGCTCGAGGATTAAACCAAGTGTGCATGTGGTAGGGGAAACCGGAGTACCCGGAGGAAACCTATGCAAGCACGGGGAGAACATGCAAACTCCACTCAGAAAGACCCCATTCCGACCGGGATTTGAATCCAGAACCTACTTGCTGAGAGGCGAGAGTGCTATCCTGATTTTGTCAGAGGTCCCAGGTCCACGGAGCTACTGCTGCCATTGCTCGGCCCGACCAGCAGAACTTCACTCTTTTTTCATTGAAATGTAAAAAGTTTGCAGCCATCCACATTTTGATTTCAGATATGCACTTCAGAAGTTTGATCCTGTAAAATAATTGTTACGCTTAAGGGGCACAGAGATTTGGCTGTCATCTGCAAACAGGTGGAATGACACCCCAAACCTCCGGAGGAAAGATCCTAATGACAACAGATACAATGAAAACAGGATTGGCCCAAGGATGGACCCTTGTGGCACCCCACACGACAGGGGGCACCCCACACGACAGGGGGCACCCCACACGACAGGGGGCACCCCACACGACAGGGGGCACCCCACACGACAGGGGGCACCCCACACGACAGGGGGCACCCTACACGACAGGGGGCACCCCACACGACAGGGGGCACCCTACACGACAGGGGGCACCCCACACGACAGGGGGCACCCTACACGACAGGGGGCACCCCACACGACAGGGGGCACCCCACACGACAGGGGGCACCCTACACGACAGGGGGGCTGTGGAGGAAACAAAGTCTCCAACTCTCACACAGAAACTCCTCTCTCTCAGAAAAGATCGGAACCATTCCAGAGTATAGCCCTGAATGCCGACTGAGTCTGATACAGCTCTGACAGCAGACGCTGCTCCCTCTTCCCTCACTGGTTCCTGGTTCAGCTGTGGAGGCCGCAGCAGTGGGACTGTGGGTAATTGCTCCTGGTTTTTTGCTGCGGTGACACCACTCCGCTGTCACTCACACTTCATTATCTGGAAATTCTGCAGGTGACTGAGAGAGAGAGACCAGAGAGACAGCGAGAGACCAGAGAGAGAGACCAGAGAGAGAGACCAGAGAGAGAGACCAGAGAGAGACCAGAGAGAGACCAGAGAGAGACCAGAGAGAGACAAGAGAGAGAGACCAGAGAGAGACCAGAGAGAGACCAGAGAGAGACCAGAGAGAGACCAGAGAGAGACCAGAGAGAGAGACCAGAGAGAGACCAGAGAGAGACCAGAGAGAGACCAGAGAGAGACCAGAGAGAGAGACCAGAGAGAGAGACCAGAGAGAGACCAGAGAGAGACCAGAGAGAGACCAGAGAGAGAGACCAGAGAGAGACCAGAGAGAGACCAGAGAGAGACCAGAGAGAGACCAGAGAGAGAGACCAGAGAGAGACCAGAGAGAGAGACCAGAGAGAGACCAGAGAGAGACCAGAGACAGCTGTTGTTTAGTTTCACTTTGTATAACCAGTGCTGATGTGAGTCTGTTCTTCCAAACGTCAGAGTCTTATTAAAAGAAGACGTCGATCAAACTGACGACAGACTGAAGGTTTGAAGCATCGGCTCCTGGGGGGTCTCTCTCTTTAACAAACTCTGACAGATCAGAGGTCTCTCTCTTTAACAAACTCTGACAGATCAGAGGTCTCTCTCTTTAATAAACTCTGACAGATCAGAGGTCTCTCTCTTTAACAAACTCTGACAGATCAGAGGTCTCTCTCTTTAACAAACTCTGACAGATCAGAGGTCTCTCTCTTTAACAAACTCTGACAGATCAGAGGTCTCTCTCTTTAACAAACTCTGACAGATCAGAGGTCTCTCTCTTTAACAAACTCTGACAGATCAGAGGATTCAGTCTCTGGGCGTCTGAAGGTGTAGTAAATATCCATCCGTCCACTTTCTTCCACTTCATCCATTGCCGGGTCGCGGGGGCAGCAGTGTAAGCAGAGACCCAGACTTCCCTCTCACACACTTCCTCCAGATCATCCGACCCCAAGGCGTCCCCAGAGAGAGAGACCCTCTGGCCTGGGTCTTCCCCGGGGCCTCTTGACAGTACATGTGTCATGTGACTGTTAAGCCTAGTTTATACTCGCGCGGCGCGGAGCTTACGGAGGTGACATGACGTCACTTGGTCAACGCGTTTGTCACCGCGAGGCCCTTACGTCGCCTGCCGCGCAGCATCGAAATTTTCTAACTACGTAAGGGTCGCCGCAAGGAAGCTCCGCTGTGATTGGTCCGTGTGTGAGAGAAGCTCCGCTGTGATTGGTCCGTGTGTGTGTATTGGAAGGAAGCACGGAGCGGCTGCAGCAGGAGCATGGACGAGGCACTATGGAGCAGACTGTGGACTATCTAACATATATATAACTTATATCTAACATATATATAACTTATATCTAACATATATATCTAACATATATATATATAACTTATATCTAACATATATATATAACTTATATCTAACATATATATAACTTATATCTAACATATATATAACTTATATCTAACATATATATAACTTATATCTAACATATATATAACTTATATCTAACATATATATAACTTATATCTAACATATATATAACTTATATCTAACATATATATAACTTATATCTAACATATATATGTCTCAGATATTTACCACTATTATTGTTTTGCTGTTTGTGCTGAAAACTATTTAATAATAACTATGTTTCCAACAAGAACTGTGTCTTTATTCACAGCATCACAGTTGAAATGACT